TCCTTGGCCCTATACTCTTTTTAATTTACATTAATGATCTTCCAGATATTCTCACATCTAAGATGGCATTAACCCTTCATGTTCTAGGATTAATTCTTACTTCCAATCTTTCTTGGAAACCATATACTAAATCCGTTGCAAAATTAGCCTTTGCTAAAGTTGCATCTCTTTCTCCAGCTCAACACTTTCTTACCCCGATTCGATTCTATATCTCTATATATTTCAATTCTAGACTTGTATTGAATACTGTCTCCATATCTGGGTTAAATCTTCTAATGATGCCCTTTTTCTTTTGAACAAAGTGCAAAAACCTATAGTAAACATAGTGGACCTGATTTTGCAGCCAACTTTCAATTATCCACAATAACAACCTTTAACTATCACATTGTCGTAATGTGGCTTCTCTTTCTCTTTTCTACAAATACTATAATGGGCACTGCTCTAAAGAGCTAGTGTCTCTTGTGCCATCTACTAAAATTCATTTTTGTGTTACTCATCATTCAATTAAGTCTCATCCTTTTTCTGTGACTGTTCCTAAGTGCTCCAAAAACTTTTATTGCACTAGTTTTATTCCTCGAACATGAATTCTTTGGAGCTGATAAACTTTTTTTTTTTTCTTCCTTTATTTTTCTTTCCTAATTCATATAATTTGCAATTGTCTATTAATCGTTATCTTGCTCTACAATCTTTATCTTATCTCTTCCAGTAACTTCCAACTCTAGTAAGTGGTTGCTTGCAGCCTTGTTGGAAGCAAAGATGTTTAAAAAAAAAAAAAGTACAACATGATTTATTTTGTTAAAAGTTAAATTATGTTTTAAAAGTAGTTACTATAGTTACATAAATGTATAATAATTACTTCAAAAACTTGTTTCTTTGCGCAGCTGCCTTGTTTGTCAAGGTTCATATTTCAAAGAGAGGGTTGTAACCACGGTAATGCAGCCTCCTTAACTGTAGTGGTTTTAAATAACTAAAAAAGTTGTAAAACAAAAAGATGTTGGTAAATGTTTTGGTGTTATGTAGTGTCTAGATATAATTCTACATAATACAATTGATACTAGATATCATTCTTCTTTATTGACAAAACATTGGTGTACAAAAAAAAAAAAAACTTTTTACAACATCAACAGCTACCAACTGCTACCAACCAGTTCAATGTGGACATTATGATAAGCACACATATTTATGCTTATTGACAGACTTAAATTTTACAAGCACAAAAATATATGCTGAGCAATTTTTTTTGTAATTAAGCTTTTAGCCTTAAAATTATGTTTTAACTTTAAATAATATATATATATATATATATATATATATATATATATATATCTATATATATATCTATATATATATATATATATATATATATATATATATATATATATATATATATATATATATATATATATATATATATATATATATATATATATATATATATATATATATATATATATATCTATATATATATATATATATATATATATATATATATATATATATATATATATATATATATATATATATATTATATATATATAAATGTATATATATATATATATATATATATATATATCTATATAGTATATATATATATATATATATCTATTTTTATATATATATTTATATATATATATATATATATATATATATATATATATATATATATATATATATATATATATATATATATATATATATATATATATATATATATATATATATATATATATATATATATAGGGCATTTCCAAAAAATCACGCACGGAAACTCGTATATGTTTTTACTTTTTTTTTCATAAAAATAAAACTAGCGATCTCCAATTTACTCTCATTTAATTCTAATCAATATAAATATTTTGTAAACCAAAAATAGTAAGCATTAGTAATGTTAACAAAGAATAAATAAAGTTTGAAATGGAATCACGCACAAAACAGAAAAACTTCTATTTTAGTTACTAGATAAATAAATTTTAATTCCTCGGACAATATAAGTTTCACTGGTATACTTTTTTTGTTAAATAATATTTTGAACATTAGTAAACATTTCCAGAAAGTTACAGGGTTTCACTATAGATCATAGAGTCTCAGCAATCATTTAAATGCAGTTTATGAATGATCACGCACGGAAGTCACTCACGGAAGTCACGCACGGATGTTGCAAATTTGTCAATTTCATGTAGTTATTTTTATGAAAATAAATTGCTAGTGAGTATTTCAAGTGAAAAATTATTCTTCTGCGACTCATATGTAATATATATTTGCGATGAGAAACGGCAGTCATCAATTATTTCTAGCTAGAGTATGGCGTTTTGAAAATTATTGTATATTTTTCAAAATGTAGCGATATTATTACTCAAAAAAATAAAATTGTAAAAATGTGTATATTTAATTTATTCAGATAGCCTAAACTATGATAAAAATATTTTAGTTATAATTGTTCTTTAAGAAAATCAAAATAGTATGCATATTGCATAAAGTCCCAGCTTTTAATTGCTAAAACAAAGAAAAATAAAAAATCACGCACAGAAATGGAAATGCCCTATATATATATATATATATAATATATATATATATATATATATATATATATATATATATATATATATATATATATATATATATATATATATATATATATATATATATATATATATATATATATATATATATATATATTTTAATAAACTGGATAAACTTTTTAATTAATAAACCATTTTAATAATTTAAAAAAATACATGTTTCGACTATCACTAGTCATCTTCAGTTGAATTTAAATTTTTAAATTTGTTAAAATACCTATATAGGTGATTTTTACAATATCAATACAAAATGTGTGTACAAACTATTAACTTAATTACAAAAATACGACAAAATCTATTATAAGAATAACAATTGTCTTGTTTATTAAAATATTTACATTTTTTGTGCCTAAAAGAAATTTTGGATATATATATATATATATATATATATATATATATATATATATATATATATATATATATATATATATATATATATATTTATATATATATACATGTATATAATTATATATATATATATATATATATATATATATATATATATATATATATATATATATATATATATATATATATATATATATATATATATATATATATATATGTATATATATATATATATACATACATATATATATATATATATATATATATATATATATATATATATATATATATATATATATATATATATATATATATATATATATATATATATATATATATATATATATATATATATGTATATATATATATATATATATATATATATATACATATATATATATATATATACATATATATATATATATATATACATATATATACATATATTTATATATATATATATATATATATATATATATATATGTATATATATATATATATATATATATATATATATATATATATATATATATATATATATATATATATATATATATGTTCATATATATGTATATATATATATATATGTATGTATATATATATATATATATATATATATATATATATATATATATATATATATATATATATATATATATATATATATATATATATATATATATATATATATACACATATATATAAACCTAAGTATTGTGTTCAAAAAATTTTTATTTTTTAAAAATATGTACAAGTTTGCTTGGTATCCTTGATAATTTTATAAATAATATGCATTTTTATGTTTTTTACTTTAAGTCCAGTACTAGGTAAAATGCAAACCGCGATTTGGAATCTGTGAACTGGTAAAATGCAAACTTTTTTGCCAACCATCTTCCTATTGGTTGTTAACGATGTAATGTTTTATTTCCTTTAAATAGTTCATTTAGCGGTATATTTTAAGGACTCTTAAGTTAAAAAATGAATTAAAAAAAATAAAAGGATATTAAGTGAAACTAGACAAATACAATATAAATTTTTTTTTTTTTTTACTTTTATTTGATAGACTGCCTGCCCTAACCAAACCCTCAGTCGATTTAGCAGCACTCCGGTGCGAGTCAGACTATAAGATTGTCAATGTAGCAGCACTCCATTGTGAGTCAGGCTATAAGATAGTCAATGTTAAAAACTAAAATTTTTATTTTAAATGAAGCTTTAATAAAATTAAAAAATAAAAATTTTATTATTAATGAAGCTTTAATAAAATTAAAAAATAAAAATTTTATTTTAAATAAAGCTTTAAAATAGATAAATGAGAATTAGAGAGTTTTTTTATTATTATTTTCATCTTAACAATAGTGGTCTTTAAAATATAATGTTTTGGTTTGCAAAAAAGTTCGCATTTTACCGGTTGGCAGTTCGCGGTTTGCAGTTCGCTTTTTACCGACAACCTTTAAGTCCAGGTTTTCAAAAAGTTTAAAAGAAAGCCTGGAAAAAATGAGGAGCTTAAAAATAAAAACTTTTTATTTCAATTAATAATTTGACTATCCAAATCAAAACCCTCAGTTGATGTGTCTATAGTTTCTTGTGTTAATCAATATATCAAATAATGTAGGTGCAGTCCACTTAGCTTTGGATAAATTAATTGATGCATGTGCACTCTGTTGCCTCTTTAGCTAAATAAATAGTTCAGTATAAGCACACTTACTGCATCTTTCTGATAGAAAAAAGTTAAACACCAGCCTAAACAAAATGTTTAGGCGGTTTGTAGTGAAGTTGTTTTTCCTGCAGTATGGAGCAGGCATAAATTGCAGGGTAAAGCAAAAAAGGTGATCATCTGGTGGTATTAATTATTTAATGCTTAGCCATTTTGAAATCCTGTAATAATTTATGTGATTCTAAGGAGAGTTTTATCAGCACCATTGTATAAATGTTTATTTTATTACCACAACTGCATAAATTATGTTTACTCAAAAGTCATAATGTTGATAAAACAAAATAAAATAAAAACAACTTAATAAAGAAAGAAAAAAATAATAATGAAGAATGTTTCTAATAAGTTTTTTTTTTTTTCAGATTTAAACATTTATGAAAAAGTAAATCAATTTGAGATTCCTCACACATCTGTGCTCCCTGAAAACATTCTAAAATGGGTCTGCTTCATTGAAGAGAATAGTGATTGTAACACAGCTTCAACAATTGATGATTTCAAATCATCTTTTCCTGAGATAAACTCATTAAATCAGTCAGAGATTTATTTGTTGTTTTGTTTTTTTTGCGGTAGAAAAATATTTTTATCTATAAAAAACCCTAAAGCTCAAGCTCATCTTTTAAGAATTAAGATACCTAATGAATCTGATCAAATTAATCTTTTACCAAACCATCTCAGAAATTGGGAATCAATTTTAGCTCAAGAAGTTAAAATTTGTCTTTCTTTGAGTGAATTTGAAAATGCTTTTCCTGATATTCAACAGTTAAGTGATGCTGACAAGTTTATTTTATTTGATTATTATCGCAGCAGAACCTTAAATGAAGAAAGTGTGAGCATAAAACATTTTCAAAATCAAGTATCTTTAGAACAAAATCAAATATCTCCAAAATATCCTGACGAAAATTTCATAAACTTTAAAATGTTGGATCTTGCAGATGAGTTAACAGAAACTCAATATCGAACTTTGTCTTTAATGCATACTGAACTTGAAAGTATTGGGGAACTTTTGACTATGTGGGCGTTTTCACCAAAGTTGATTATAAATAGTTTTGAAGAGTTTAGTAAATGGTATTTAAAATGGAGTTCAGCTACAGAATTTCAAAAATTTATTGTTTATGCATTGATTTATAGGCAAAAAAAATGGATCTGTATTGTTGAGAAAAATTCAAAATCAAACCAACTTTTTCTAAAGATATTATTGAGAAATATTCCATTGGATTCAAAAGAATTTCTGATTCCATTTGAGAGCCCTAACTTAGTTAACTGGTCTGGAAAAATCAATGATGACAAAGAAATTGATCAATATTTAAAACTATTAGAATTTTCAATTCCTCTTAGTTATTCATTAAGTCGCAAACTTAAGGTTTCACACTTACCTAATGTAGTCAACATCCATTTACAAATAACAAATAAAGACCAGAGCCTCAAAGAATTTTTAGAAGAGTTTTCAGAGGTGATTAAAAGTTTTCCATCAGAAGTTCAACATTTATTATTTTTTTATTATCATAAATTTGAAGAATGGGAGTTTTCAGTGTGGCAAAACAAAACAGATGAAAATATTGTTCCTCCTCAGTCGCCAGCCATTAGTCTGAATGGATCAAGGTATTTGAAAGGATCGAGACATTTTAAAGGACCACGAAAACTCAAGGCATCACAAAATCTTTTGGGATCAATAAAAAAAGAAAAAAAAAATGAGCAAAATAAGGAAAGAAAAACAGTATCAAGAAAGGTTTCTTATTCAGGTATATTTTTTTCCTTTAAATTTAAAAGAATATATAATATTATAAACTTAAATTTAAAAATTAAACTTTATATTTAAAAATTTTAGGAAAAATCAAAGACATTGCTTTAGATCACTCTCAAATGATAAACAAGCTGCCAATATTTGATATTGAAAGTGAAAATGTGAAATCATTTGTTGAGTTTAAGATGTCCTGTGAAAATAAGTTTAAAGAAAAGTTGTCTAAAAAACAATTGTATGCACTCTATTGCTATAATTTTTGTTTTCATTTGTGGAAACTTCAAGTTAATGTGTTAAACACAGGTAACAATTATTTTTTGTTTGTTTATGGAAAATTCAAGTTAATATATTAAACACAGGTAAAAATCCTTTTTTTTGTTTGTTTGTTTATGGTTTTAATGATGATGTTGTTGTTGTTGTTGTTGTTGTTGTTGTTGTTGTTGTTGTTGTTGCTGTTAATGATGATAATGATGATGTTGTTATAGTTAGTTAAAAACATTTTTGAACAATCCTAAAATCTAAATACTTTGTATATTACAAAAACACACCTTTCTGCTCCACAAAGGCACACTTTTATGCTGTGAAAAAGTACACTCTTCTACTCTGGAAAAACTCTTCAGTTATTAACTTTATTAAGTTTCATATTTATATACAAATATTAAACTTAAGGAAAATGATTTCTCAATTTTCTAAAACTTTAAATTATGCATGAGAACTTTTTTATTGAGATGTTAGACAAAATTAAAGTCAGAAACCTTTATTAGAATTTTTCTTTTCTGAAAAGATTCTGAGTGATTGTCACCAATCACTCACTTCACCAATCACTCACTTCACCAATCACTCACTTCACCAATCACTCACTTCACCAATCACTCACTTCACCAATCACTCACTTCACCAATCACTCACTTCAGAATGATGAATGTATTTACTTATTTTGAAGGAACTTTTTCATTAAAATAATTTTTTTTTTTTTTTTTTAATCAAGAAGTCTGTTAGGGCACTCTACAAATGTTTTAAAGATCAGAATGGGAAATAAATAAAAGACCAGACCAGACCATTGGTTTCTCTTAGCAACATCTTAGTGCACTTCAACAAAACTTAATTTTATTTTGGTTTTTTCTTTTTTTTCTGTTTTTATTATTGAAATAATGTTAATCGTTTTATATTGATGATAATGTATTATTCCTTAGGGTAATTAATTTTTAAAAGTTACGTTCTAAATGTATTTTAAATGCCTTTTAAACGTCTTCTAAACATTCTTACGTAAAGAACGTTTAAAAGACGTTTAAAAAACGTTTAAAAGACATTTACGACATAACTTTCAAAAGCAAATGCCCGAAAGGATGATGCATCAACCATCTTTTATTGATGGTAATTTATTATGATCAACTTAATTAGTTGTAAGTCTGTAAATAGGCTCTACTTGATATCCAATTTAAATTTTGATCCGAAAATATTACACGTGTGTTGCTATTGACTTTTTTTTAAAAAAAGTGCGAAATGGCATAATTATTTTTAAATCTTAAGGCATAATTTTTAAAAACATAGCTACAGCTTTCTAAAGAATAAACGTGATCCAATATATCACTTGTTATTTGTGTATTCATATGCACTTATGCAGACTTGCATTCAATAAAAAGTTACAAAATGCTTTACTTAGAAACACATTCAGTCACTTAGTTACCATTAGTTTTATAATATTACATAAAAAAAGTTATTGCTCGTTTTTGAGACTTTATTGAGAAATATTCATTTAGAAATGCATAATACTATAAAAAAGGATTATCGTACGTTTATATAAAAAGGAGTATCGTCTGATAATACCATATAAACGTATTATCAAACGTAAAAAATATGATACGTTTATATGGTATGATACATTTCTATGTTGACAAAAAAAAAATACTTATTTTTTTAAATTTATATTTTAGATACGTTATTGGATATTAAGAAAAACATTGTAATTGAACATCCTCATCCAGATATTGAAATTGCTAATATCCTAAAATGGATCAAATTAATTGAGCAAAATGGAATTCGCCAGAAATTGACTACAATGAATGAATTTGTCAGTTATTTTCCAGAAATGAAAGAACTAAGTGAGGCTGAAATATATTTGCTTTATTGCTTTTACTGCGGTATATACTTTCGAGCAGTTTTTGTTCCAAAGGACTCTGATATGAATGGTGAATCAAAAGCTAATCAATCGTTTAAAAAGAAGCGAGTTAATAAAGTCTCTTCTCCAATTAATAATTTGAACGAAAAACCTGGACGGAAACGAACAATTACACTTCCTAAATTAAAACTTTCTGATTCTTTCGAAGTAAGCGATTCTGGAAGTAAAAAGAAAAGTTATAACAGCGCTATGAATGACCATTTGTCATCATTAAGTCCTGTCGTTGAATATGACAATGTCAATGAAGTTTTAAACTCACCTAAACAAAAGGATACATATGTACCTTTTGATGAAATATCCGATTATTCAATTAGACGTCTAACAAATATTGGCTTTGCGCCAATTAAGC